GCTTATTAAGAGCTTGCTATAGATACTTGTAATCTCCACTGGGTGCCATTAATAATAACAGATGGATTGCAATTCATAGCTCCAATAATACTCCAGATGGTTCTAAGATTTCACTTCCATAATTTTTAAATATCTTATGTCTACAGGACCTAACAAAACTTCAGGCATTATTTTACTAAATAAAAAGGAAAATTTTAAAAGATTAGGATAATAACAAATTCAACCCAAAAAGTTTTACAGATTCTAGAAATTAAAATAGTTTTACATTTTTGGTATCATTCCTCTATACCTTACGATATAATTATAATGCAACAATATTTTGTGGTGAGGTGGACAACACCGGGAGTAACTAGCTAGGATAATGGTGAAAAGACCGGTTACATGGAGTGTAATCCTAAGTAGTAAATAAATGAATAATATAAGTAAATCATATATAAATATTAATATATTAATACATAAGTAAATAATAAATAATATAAGTAGCAAACATAGTGACATGTAACCAGATGCCAATGTGACCACTTTATATATTCCTTCGATTAGTTTACTTGGGAGAATTATCTTATCACAAGTATCCTAGCAAGTCACTCCCAGTGTGGCCGTGACTTTTTGCAGTTTTTGTCACTTGTTACAGGAATTCACTGGTGTACAGCGATATAAGCCCTCACCCCAAGCTCAACTAAAAAGGACCCATAAGGGCTTTGTTTATCTCTTTTGAGAGGGTTTAGAGTGCGGAAGTTGCAATCTAATTAAGGCAGTAATAATTTTAATGGTACCACTGTAGAAATGTTACTCCACCTTGACCAGAAGAGATCTCTTGCTCACGGTATAAATTGGGTCGCGAGAATGGTCAAAGACTGACAATATGTTCACAGAATAACCTCTCTTTATTAAATTACGAAAATTAATATTTTCCACAGTAAAGGAAAGATTACAAATGAAAAAAAAAATGTATATAAAAAATCATTAGATTATATCCTTGACAGCATTAATGTATAAGATGTATTTATTTTTATATTCCAATATAGTTTAAAATCTGTTACCTTATAAAAAATCTTTTGTTTTTAATACAACAATATGATCCAATTAAGTTGCCATATTCATAATTAAGTTTAAAAAATAAATAAAAGTCAACTTACAAATTAATTTAATTAAATAAATTATATGAAAAATTATCTAACATTCAAAACTAGTAAATCTTTGAATGGTAAACAATTAATAACAGATTTCTAAAAAAATATTTACGAACAATTCGGTTATATTGTTATCTGTAAGGAAAGTTAGGAATATTTTAAAATCTCAAATAAACATTCTTGACAAAAATTTCAAGTCACAAATTATGAACATAGTATTCAGAGAAATAAAATAGCTCACGATTCATTTAAAATTCACAACACTAATTCATTTGAAAACCTAACTTAAATTAAAATTGAAAATCTTTAACTTATAACTTAATTGAAAATCTTTAAATTAAAAATGTTTACTTACAAGTAATAATTGCAACTTGTCAAGAAATTTTGAATCTATCCCTAGTATGACTGGTGTTTCAAATTTAAAAGATTGATTAGGGAATTGTAGAAATTGAAGTAAATGTCCATCTATAATAAATATATCAAAGCCAAGATTTCCTGATATTTCATTAATTAGTTCAATATCAAATATAAACAATGGAAGATTATACATCGAAACCGAAGAATATTTATAATTCAGATACAGTAAATAAATCGTAAAACAGAACCAACCAATAAGAAAATATAAACATTTTCTTTTCCTAACCATATTCAAATACACATAAAATTAGCTCTAGAAATAACTATCAAAATAAGTTTGTTGAAAGACAAAGAGGTAGGCAAAAGAATAAAGAAGATACTATGTAAAGGTTCATTAAGACATTTCACACACTACGAGAAACACAATTATCTAACTTAACTAATTGTGACATTATTGCTAAATTAAACTATTTATTTTATTTCTCCTGATACCGATAGCTAGGGCTGTTGCATGAGTTTTTGGCGCCCGGGACGAAATTATATTAGGCGCTCCCTTCACATCCCTTGAACTTGGCCAGTAATATATTGTCTCATGTTTACGTGTTTTATTTATTGTATGATATTATACTTTTGCACTTCCGTTTACTACCGATAAATCTGTAGCCAGTTGTAGTTGTAATGTATCTGTAGTGGCGACAAATGGTGACCCCAACGTGATCAAAAAGCCCGACGTGATTTTCACAGGTCCGACGTGATTCTGGAGGATTGAAGGAAGAAGATGGCAGAGGAATACTGGCCCAAGGACCATTACTAAGAGAGGAGTCAAGGGCCACTAAGGACTATCCGAAACAGACTATATGATGGAAGAACCAGCTGACGACTCAGAAACACAAACTGCTTCAAAATCAGCCTCTAAAAATTCAGCAGTCACTACTTCCAAGACCAGGCTAAATTCAGCTACAAAGTATGCCTGTATGAGGAAGTACTCCAACTGGCCAAAGGAGACTCCTTGACAGCTCTAGCTTTCAAACTGAAGCAACAACCTTAATTGAACTGAAGTCTCTTAACACAGCTGCACTAAAAGTTACCAACAGGAGCAAGAACCAAAGTCTACCAGACTAAATCAGCCCTTAAATTTTGTAGTCACCACAATGTGGACAAGGCTCACAGCACCAGCAGAATATCCTCATGAAGAAAAGGAACTCGCTTAGGATGCTCAATCAAGCGCAACTGGACTGCTACAACAATTGCACAAATGCAACCAACGCCTGCCGGACCATGGGTACCATCGTCCTACAGACAATACAGAGACATTCTGCCAACCAGCCTCACTTGGCAATTCAACTGGCGCAGAGATACTTCGAACCGGAAATGTCTCGCCAAACTGCCCACTAAAGGCAATCATCTGGCGCATCGATGGTTTACCACAGTTGTAACTATCTCGCAGATCTGCCCGCTATTGGCACCAACTGGCGCAGTGATGGTCTACCACAGTTGTAGCCATCCCGCCGACCTGCCCTCAATTGGTGAAACACGGCGTGAACTAGACCTCGACTCACTGAAGGCATCCGCTACATCACCCACAAGGCACCAACCGGCATGTATGATCTTCTCTCAACAACGTTCTGGGACAGACCTTCTAGGCAGCGCTCATCAACAGTGTGGAACAGCTTAAACGCCCACATCTCCACAATTATACATAACCCCAAACAAACACCTAACTAATCAACATTGAACCTTAAGGTGGGGGACAACTACATCCTTTGGGCTATTCATTTGGACTTCACTAATGACTCCGTCATCTCGGAGGAGAGCAGCGGCGACAGATTCCCACGGCAACAGTTTCCGTTCTCACTACCAGGAACGAGTTCATCTTCCCGCTACCAGGCAGCGCTCTACAAGCTCGCCCGTGCAACATATTAAAATTGTATCTTTTATTTTTCATTATTGTATTATAAAATACTTAAATTGTAAATTGAAATATGCATATTCATTGTAAATACACTTTATTAATAAAGTTCAATGGCGATAACATATACTGACCAAAGCTCAAAATAACTGTTATAGTAACGGCTCTTGGTAGCCGGTTTAGTCTTGATGGAATGAATACCCCAGTCAAACCTCAAATTGTCAGTTCTACGAAGCTTCACCCCTTCAGGGTGTAGACTTATATGCAGACGGTCAGTATGTGTACCTTATACGCTTTTGGTTCACCTCAGTCTGCTCTTCTTATTTAACAACAACTTTTTACCTTTATCCTCTTCTCTTACTCCATGTAAGTGGAACGCTGATCCGTCCGCTAGCAGTCCTATATACTGAGTCTGGAGATTGATCCCACCGTCAGTATCTCATCCTCCCACAAGTCCGGAGTTTGATCCCTCCGGTTGTGGTTACCATCCTTGCGGAGTGTTAAGGCTGATCCCTTACACCGCGGGCCAAGAGTGATTGGGTGCTGATCCGCCTGTCCCTCGAGGAAATCCATCTATTCATCTTCCTCCATCCATTCAGTCATCTCACCCTAAATACTGGACACGCACTGTCGAGCCCTTCTGATTACTTGCACATACTGCATCTCTGCATTATCCATACCTCGACATATCTAACAACGCAAGTGAAACTGAGGTTTTAAATAATTATTCCGCCAGTCGTGTATGATGATCTAAGAAAAGATGAAAAGGAATTAATAAAAATGTAGAAAGCTGATAGAAATAAGACTTTTCAAAAGCTTTATGCATTCTTTATAATTTGTCCATAATTCGAGTCGCTCTCAAGCACGTCTGCCGACTGCAAAAGGAAAATATAAAAAATGAGAAACAAGAATAATAGAATAGTGAAACAACCATTTATATATTTGTTTGTTGTCTTGAAATGAACTTTCTAAGAGAAAAAAAATATGCAATATGTGTTGTAGTAACTTCGTGTGCGAGTAATTATCTACATATCCTTTGGGGAGATGGAATTTCGAAAAAGCTGTTTAACTTAGCTCTTGAGAAAGTAATAAGAACAACATCATGAGAATATGAAGGAGGGCACGTCGGAATGAAACATAAAATCGTAGCATATGCGGATGATATAGCTGTCCTTGGAAGTAATCAAGAGGATATTGAGAGAGTCGCTCGGACTATGTTATGAGAAGCAGTGCAAATCTCTATCTCTCTCTCACACACACACTCTCTCTCTCAAATTAAAATAATTAATTTGCCTAATGCAGCAATCTTATTCATCCTTGATATATCAGCTGGGGGAATATTAGATCCCAATTTTGTTTTTCTACTTACAAATGGACATGACTACGATCACGGTTTAACCTCATTGGCTTTGTTATGACATTTCGTGAAAGTAGAAGGTTATCAAACATATCTTATATACACACACACACATATATATATGTATATATATATGTTTGTTTTTTCGAACTATCCTATTTTATATTTTTAAGTTATAAACTTCTAAATACTTAACGTTGAGTAAATCATTACAGTGTCGGTGAAGTTATAACTACAAACAATTATGTCTTGTGTGAAGTGTAATATTAAGCAATGGTTACGTTCTATTCACATAATCACATATATTTTAATATTAACTGTTGTATTACCAGCTTTGATTATCACCTCCATTCAAAGAGAAATAAAAAAGCAAGAAAAAACAGCACTGGTGGGTGGAATTTTCGTGATTCTAGCCCTACCTATTTCAATACACGGAATTACTCAGCACATGATATATTATTCACGCCCTTCTTTACAAAAATATGTCATAAGGTGATGATTGTTTTAGTCGTTTTGTATTCCTTTCACCTTTTTATATCTGTTAATTGCTGAGGTATTATTATGTTCTAGGATTCTGTGGATGGTTCCTATATATGCTTTAAATGCAGTGAGTATACTTGCTTTATGAATTCCATGATTAAATGTTAATCAACATAATAATATATTTGATTGACCTATTATGTAATCTTATATAAACATTAGCATTCTTCTCAGTATATCAATATTCTGAATTAATATGCCTGCTATTGTTAAGATATTTAGTTGACCTCATAATTAGAAAAATATATTTATGTTTTTATTTGTTGTATTATCATGCAGCAAGGGTTTTTTTCCCCCTCAAGTTTATTTAATTTTCATAATGTTTTGATATTGTTATATAATAGGTTATCTGTATTTTTATTTCTTGTTTATTTTGGTTATAAAAATGAAACATATTTTATTTTTAAAATAAATAAACATTAGAAACATTTTTTTTTGTTTATTAGTCAATTGCAGTTAGTCTTAATATAATTTATGATGTGACCCTTTATATACCTCAAGATCAATGCCATGAAAAATTAAAACTGGTTAATTTCTTGTCCAAAAAAGGATTCCTTTATTAATTCAACTGGGCTGTACTCCCATTGATACTACTTTACGAGTGTTACTCCTCTTTGATTGGTGGGCCCAAGATCTCATCATCAATCTATAATTGGAATTCCGTCAAGGGATCAATATAAACATAGACCTCATGACCTCATTTTATCAAGATAAATAGAGATTAGCTATTGTGTAAGGTTTTTTTTTTTATGTTTGTGAACATCTTCGAAATTTTCTGTTCATCTCCTTGAACCGTTATATCGGCCTCTTTCATTTTGAATATTATTTTTGTTGCTAATAAATGTACCAATCATTCGTCGAGAGATCAACATAAACATAAATTTGAACAAAGACCAATATATCAGCCTTATGACCTTATTTTATTGAGATTGGTAGAGTTTAACAAATTTTATTTAGTTTTTGTTTTCCATCCCTCGCGCAGGCTCATTACCGCCTATGGGGAGCGTCCCACGGGTGGCAGATGTGGGGATGGTAGGTGGAAATTCCCTGGAAGTTCCTTCCGGCTAAGTCCGATGGATTCGCTGACTAACAATGAGAGAGGCCCACCAGACTTGCTGGAGGGTGTGACGTAGGATTGAAGGCCCGGCGAATCAAATGGGCCTGTAAAATTGTTGGGCTAAGGTTAATATTTGCAGTACCAAATGGTAATCGTCCAAGGGGTAGACCGAAGCGAAGGTGGGAAGATTGCATTAAAGCCGATCTGAAGGGACTAAGTTTGGACGGCGAACGATGGAGGGAGGTGTGTAATAAGCGATTGGTGGTGTCTGTATCGAACCTTCGGTTCGCTAAGCCTTTTATTATTATTATCATTTTGTTTTCCATCCCTCCCCTTCCCCAAATTTGAGTGGGTACTGATATTCCAAAGACTAATATATCGTTCTTATGCCCTTATTTTATCGAGATTCTAAGAATTTTACTTTGAATATAATTTTTACTGCCGATAAATGTACCAATCATTCATCAAGGGATTAACGGAAACATAAATTTGAGCAAAGACTGGTTGGAGCAAATATTAGGCTCTTTCACTATGAGTATTTTTTTGGTATAAAATAATGTTATAAGACCTGTCGAGATATATGTGTGCAGAGAGAATATACATTTACCAGGAGACCTAGACAGTGTGTGTTCATTATAGAGGATAAAGATGACTTATTGGATAAAGGAAGATGAATAGAAGGATGACCTCAAGTGACAGGCGAATCAGCACCCAATCACTCTCGGTTTGCGGTGTAAGGGGTTAACCTTAACACTCCTCAAGGATGGTAACCACAACCAGAGGGATCAATCTCCGGACTTGTGGGAGGATGAAATACTAACGGAGGAATCAATCTCCTGACTTAGTATATATCAGCGTCCAAACTTGCATGGAGTAAGAGAAGAGGATAAAAGGTTAATGGATAAAGTGAAATTAAAGGCAGTTTGTTGAAGACTAAAAGGAGTATAGGATTCATACACTGACCAACTGTGTAAAGGTCTACACTCTGAAGGGGTGGAGATCCGAGGACCTAACAATTTGAGAAATGACTGCAGTATTCATTCCGCCAAGATTAAAGCGGCTATCAAGAGCCGTTACAATAACAGTTATTTTAAAGCTTTGATCAGTATATGTTATCACCATTAAACTTTATTAATAAAAAGTATTTACAATGTATATACATATTTCAATTTACAATATGAGTGTTTTTATCATATAACAATAAGAAATAAAAATACAATTTTTGGTACATTGCCGGGCGAGCTTGTATGGCGCTGCTAGGTAGCGGGTAGGCGAACTAGTTATTCTCTGTAGCAATAGGCGGGAATCTGTTGCCGCTACTGGCCAATATAAGATTCCAATAGAGTGACCAAAAAAATCTAGAAGAAGAGCACAAAAATAAATTGTTTAAAATCTACCTATTTTGATAAAATAAGGTTATGAGACCGATGTATTGGTCTTTACTCACATTTTATGTTTATGTTTATAGCGATTTATCGGCCCATTTATTATAAGTATAAGTAATATTCCAAGTGAAACTTGTGAAATAAAAGGCTGAAATATCAGTCTTCGCTCAAATTTATGTTTATGTCAATTCCTTGGAGAGTGGTTGAAACATTTATTAGGAATAAAAATAATATTTATTCCTAGTAGAACTCTATGAATCATGATAAAATAGTGTTGGAAGGCTGATATATCGGTGTTTAGAATATCGATATCTGTTCAAATTTTGGGGAGTGAAGGATAAAAAAAAAAATTATCATGTAAATAAATTTTAAAAAATGGTCTGACTGTACCAATCTAGGTAAAATGAAGTCATCAGGCCGATATATCTTGATGTTTGATTGACACTTTCATTCAGCCATTACAAGAACTTTCTGTGCGACGTCATACTGAACTAGACATATAGAAGTGAATGGCTGATATGCTGAAATATAGGTTTACCTATCTTTTATCAATCAAGATTTGTGTGTAGGCCGTTGTGCTGATAATATTTATTATTTGATTTAGCAATAAGTAGGATATTCCATGTAAAACTAAAGAAACTTTGACGGAAAGGGGAAAAAAGGTTGGTGGGTATGGCCGATATATTGGTATCGACTAAAATTTCGATATTGGTCAATCTCTACATGGTTCTATTTTACCTTTTTTTTTTTTTTTGGGAGGGGAGTTCAGCCCGAAAGTCCCCTCCCTCGTAGATGTAGATCCCCCTGTGATTCCAAGAATGGCTGAGTGATATTAATGTGTTCACAGGTATAAGTTCCCTTTGTTTAGATCTTCGTATATGACTTCCACAAACCCCAACTGATTCTTTTCAGTTTAAATTGGGGTCTTAATTAGCTTTAATAACTTTACTGCTTTCATCCTTAGGAGGTGCCCGAAGCATCTAAGTTTATTCTCTTCTTGAATGGTTTCTACCAGCTGTACCTCAATGTTTGATCTTATTATTGTGTTGCGGATCCTATCTCTCCTGGTCTTTCCCTCAACCTTTCTTAGGTGCCTTATCTCCATTATCTGGATCTGCCCCTTGTGTTTTGAGGTAAGGGTCCATGATTCAGAGGAGTAAGAGAGGATGGGCAGGAACGTTGACTTGTAGACGGATATCTTTGTTTCCTTTGTCACTTCTCTTTTGTTGAGGAAACCTTTCCGGGTTGAGTGGAACATTCTTCCAGCTCCTCCCAGCCTTTGCGACACCTCTCCATCGATATAGCCACTTTCGTTGATGCATGCACTTTGTAATCCTGCAAATCTGCCACGGTCTAACCTTTCAACCTCAATATTCTCATAATTAGTAATTTAATATCAATTGATCAGAAAACATACTGGAGATAAACAAATAATTGTATATAGTTGTTTTGTTGTGCTGTAATATAATAGAATCTTTAACCATTTTGAATGAAATATGAATTTATAAGAAGTGAGCTTGGTCCTGGGAGTGGGGAAAGGTAGTTCGGGGGAAACTACAGTTCACAAAGAACCATTGTTCATCCAAAGCAAAACTGGTCTTCACACTGGTTTTTTTGTGAACTAGTTCGTTCATGAACTACACATCACTATCATACAGAGCAGTAAGTCCCTAAAAATTTCGTTTGAATCAGTGGGGCTGTTCTGAAATTATCACAATTTTAGTTATTGGCAACCAAATTTCAAAGGAGCCAGCCTGGCCAAAAATTTTATTGTTTGGATTGTTATAAAAATGCGTATTTTCGAATTTATTCAGGTGCAAAAAACAAATATCAACTTTGTTTTCCACTAAAAAATTATTTATTCTAGATACAGGACTGGCTTAAAAAATGTCATAGGATAATAATTTTTTCCAACCAACGTTTAATGGGGGAGGGATATGGTTTTAGTTTGTTGGTATTCATTTTTTACACACAAAAATATTAAAAATTTTTGCTTAGGCTTGCCCTTCAAAATTTGTATGTTAACCACAAGAATTGTGGTTATTTCAAAACCACATCACCGAATTATACAAAAATTATTAGAGGCTTAAGGTTGTATAAACCCGACCTCTGTAAAAACATTAGAACCAAAGATATAAAACAAAAATGTTTTAGAAGTTTTCTGAATTTTTAGCTTAAAAAGGATGAAATCAGAAACTTATCGATGTGGTTTTTAAGAGCAGTAATTCAAGTTTTCAACAGTTGTAAAGAAATTTAAATTAAGAAAATCTTAAGAAGTTACGAATGGTTTAGCCAACGGTCGGAAAAACCATCCTCCTAGAAATCAAGTAATAAAATGTGCAATTTTTGATGTCTAAAAATTCGTATTTATGAGTTATAAATAACACTAAAACAAATGTAATTTTATTTTGTATTAAAAATTTTATACAACTTATGGTGAATCTCAACTTATTTTATAATAAACCTCAACTTAATTAATATGGCCCTAAAGCTTATTAAACAAGGAAGTTTTTCTAAAAGTGGACTATTTGAATTTTAGATGGAAAGTGATTAAAAAAATCTGAATAATTCATGGTTTTTTAAAAATAGAACTTTGCTTAATTTAGCCATTCTAAAGTCCTCTTTAAATGGTTTTAACAAAAACAAACTCTTCTTTTGTTTGAATTAAACAAAATTAAACAAAACATTGGGCAGCACCCTTTTATGATAATAAAGTGATTCTCTCTTGTATAGTTAAATGTGAAGCAGTTTGTCTACGTTTCTGCAGAAAGTCAGACCATTGCTTATTTAAAGTTCTTTGTAGTTCTTATGGTCTGCTATCACCCATTTAAATATTTTCCTTTACTTATGGAACATTCAGCATATATATTCTTATATGTGTTTATATTTATATTGTTTATTTATATTAACTAATCTCAACCTTTTTTTTATGTTCTACCAGTGGCTTGGCCTTGTGTATCCTAATCAAGGAATATATGTAGATTGTGCCAGAGAATGTTATGAGGCATATGTAATATATAACTTCTTAGTATATCTTTTCAATTATTTAAATGAAGAAATGGATTTAGAGATTAATCTTGCTTTAAAACCTCAAATCAAGCATTCTTTTCCTCTTTGTTGGATGCGTAATTGGAAGATGGGAAGGCAAGTATTGTTTGTTTTTTTGTAATTGTATCTTTTGGTCAGTTAAGCTATTTGGAATTATAATGGCCAATTGTTGAAGCATGTCAATGTTTTATTATCAATTAGTTATTTGTGAAAAATGCTATAATTTAAAAAACCATTAACCATTTAATGATCAATTAATGTTAGTACCATTAATATAAACAGACCAGGTGTAGGAGTGATAATCCAACACTGTATTCCTTAATTGGAAATTGAGATGTGTTATTCCTGGATATCAGTAACTGTACGGAGATTCAGTTCATTGAGAGTCTGTTTTCGGTAAAGTATTATAGGTCCTCGTGCTCTTGCTGGCCCTAAGGAACCACAATGATTGGATCTGGACTAATTTGTTACTGTCTTTGAAACCGAGTGAGTCTGTGGGAAGGACACTGCTGTTGGTATATATTTTCAACAAGTCCGTCAACGGTTGCAGATACTATAAGGTGACAGATTTTGAGGTTGCAACACATCATCCAAAACAGGATATTTACATTTTTCAACTGCAAATCATGGGGATACCAGGGCACATTGCATAAAAGTGGGACTTTAAAGTTGGGACACCTATCACTTTACCACTAGTAGCTGTAGTCAAGTCAACAGAAGTCCTCCATTTTCTTGTTTTGTGTTTGGTAACACATAGTTGCCTTTCATGATTTAGGCATTTTGGAAGTTATTTTAAAAAAAAAAAAATTACTCTAGGAATATAATGTATAATATATAAAAGTTATACATGACATTGTTACAAAAATTGTTTTTGAATACTTAATAGTTGACCATTGTTATTAAGGAAGGAGATGGTCCGGGGTGGCGGTCATAAATAGACTAAATAGTTTTGCCTCTATTTAGTCTATTTATGACCCTCACCCCGGACCATCTCCTTCCTTAAAAATTGTTATGTGTGTGGAAGTTTCCACCTTTGAATTTAAGTTTTTATTAATTTACTTTTTTTACTTATAAGTTTTGTTAAGATAATTTATGCATTTTGGTTAATTATTATTAAATTGGTTAATTTACGCATTAAAAAATCATCGCTGGTTCTGTTGGTGAAGTATTATCATTGTGTCAGGCCACACCACCAATCCATCTCAACCTGGGTTCCTCTTCTCCTTTTTGGTCTAGCATCCCCTCCATAACTTTTCTAGGTATCCTCTCCTCAGCCATGTCTGCCACGTGTTCTGGCCAACTGAGCCTGCCCATCTTGATGAACCATACTACTTTGATATCTCCGTTTAAGCTGTAGTGTTCATAGTTCTTCCTTCTTCTTCATACTTCTTTCTCTCTAACAGGACTGCATATTATTCTTAATTAGTTTGTTCATAAATTAGCTGATTACAAATTAAAATTAAAGCTATTATAAATCTATAATGTAGTGTAAAATACATGTTAATCTAATGTCGACCCTCTTTCCTTCATTTAATTAATCACATCAAGGCACAAAATGTCAATATTGTTTATTGATATTTCAATATTTTCATATCCAATGTTTGAAGATTAAAAATGTCGAGGTCTTATGTATTGGTATTTTTTCTGATATTTTAAAAAACAAAAAAAGGTATAAATATATTAATATTGGTTTTTATTTACATCTCTACCAGATAATAAGATTTATTTTAGAAAGATCCATGACTATTTGGCTTTTCTCTTCGACTAAAGATATATAAATAAGTTGTTCAAACCTATTTTACAATTCAGTAAATTTGGAGACCATTGTACTTAGCTAAAATAAACTTAGTAAATTTCATCAAATAACCACACATCCGCCACCTGTAGGATGTTCTCCTATGCAGTAATAAAATCAGGATGAGATTTACTCTGCTACATTTAATAGCAATAAGTGCAATTTTTCTTCCACTTATAACCAGTTACAATAAAAAACTTTTAGTTCGAAAATGTGAAGGTGTGCTTCTAATCCATTAAAAAAATGTGGGTACAATAAAGCAACATTCATTATATGAAATTGAGTTTTACTTTCTTTTTTTTGTCAATGGCTTTATAGACCTTGTAGATCTTTTGTTGCCTTAACCTGCCTTCTCCATCTCTCCCTATCTTGGACTATTTCTTTCTAACTATCTGCATACAACTCTACAGCATTTATATTTATTCGATCTATCCATCTGATTTTTGGCCTTCCACATGGCCTCATGCTGATAATTGAGTTGTGACAATGACAATTCATTGTTATGTAGAGGTTTCGTGATAAATTTCTCCAAGCTACATGTCTCATCTATCTTATCCTCCTTACCTTCATATCATGAGATATTAATTGACCAGTTTCTGTAAGCAGCTCTTTATTTATTTCCCTTTTTCTCTTTCAATGCTTCTTTCTAGAGTGCTGCTTAGTGTCCAGGTCTCTCAGCGATATATCAGAACTTGTATTTTTTCATAATATTATACATACTTAATTTTATTAATGAGTTTTACTATAAATGTTAATTTAAGTGTATTTTATTCTTCTAATAACCAGAATAAAACATCTATTTTTTTCTGCTATATTGTTGACATATGTTTGTTTTTAGAGAATTGGTGCACAACTGTAAGCATGGCATTCTTCAATATACCTTAATAAGGCCACTTACTACTGGCATCGCATTGTAAGTAAGAATTAGTGAATAAGAAAAAGAAAGTTGATATTTAATTTTAGGAACTGATTGGTTTATAAAACAATCTTTCAAAAACATTTTATGAACTATAGTCCAGTAAAATTAGGGATTGACCCCAAAATTCAAAAAATAAAGATGAAACTTGTCAAAATTTGTTTATTACCCTTCCCATAATAACTGATAAAAAGTCCCAAAGAATCCCGCCTCGGGTTTTGATTGGGAGGAGGAGGGGGAGGGAGGCCAGAAAACTGATTTTTTTTTTTTTAGAATATCTCAAAAAGTATGAGATTTTCCGCAAAGATTGTTCAGTACAATACTAAAGTACTTTATAAAAATGACCCTATACATTTTTTTTAATAAAATCAATGGTTTAGGAGATATTTATGAGATTATATTTACTGTATTTCCACTTTAAGCAAAAAGTGTTCCAAACCTCAAAATTGGTGCTGTTCATTGTAGACGATAATTTTTTGAAGTTTAATAAGTTTTAAAAAAATATTTTCAATCGTTCAAATTATTATTAAAAGTTACTTTCATTTAATGATTCTTAAAAGTTATTGACTACAGAATTATATTCTATATCAATCAATGGGGAATTTTTTGATAATGATATGAAGTTTAGATTGACATTAATTTCATATAATTGGTAGTATGTTATAGAAGACATTAAAACTTATAAAAAGCTTCTATAAGCCATGGTCTGATTACATACAGAGAACCAGAAATCTTAAATTTTGTAATTTTTAAGCCAAACACATTTTATGTTGAATAAAAAGCAATGACTATAAAAACGTTTAATTTAGGTTACAACTAATTACTTCATAATAAACTAGATTAAATTTATATTAAATGCAAGTAAATCATGTCTTTTTAAAAAACACTTTAAGGGAACTTTTGAGTAGTTAAACTACGGTAAGTTCGGGTTTTCATAAAATCAAGTATTCTACACGATTTATTTTAAAACCCCCCAACTGGCCTGCTGATACTACTCTTTCGGAAAAACTTTCTTGTTCGATGAGCTTCAAGTCTATATTAATTAAGTTGATTTTACATTTTCTCTAATTGAATAAAAATATTATTAGTATGGTAAAATTAGGAATCAGCCCAAATCTTTTTACTCAATTAGGGATGAATTTCAATTTAAAAAAAAAAAGGTAACAAGAATCTTATTTAATGTGTTGGAACTTAAGGCAAATAAAAAAGGACTCCAAATCAATAAGCGGAATACAGAGTACTTCCATTAAGGATACATTTTATTAATATCAATGGTAGGGATCAACCAATAACAATATTTATATTGGCCTCGTTGATCATTTACCAGAATCGACCAATATCAAAAGCCAATAGACCAATTTTTTTCTTAATGGAAAAGAATTTAAAATAAAAAATATATATATATCTTTATTGGCAATTAAATGTTGGTGATGTTTATGATGCCTATAACAATGGATTCAGTAAATTCTCAATGCAATAATTCTTATTTTGAGTAAACTTTAACTGACTTGAGCAGTTTATTTATTATAGTTCCAAAGAACTAATATTTTTTATTTTATTTTAATTATATACTGTAAACAAATTATCCTCTAAAGCCCTAGTGTCAAAATAAATTCACTATGAAACTTTTAATGGAGATGGGGATATTTTGCTGTTAATAAAGGTGGCAAAAGTTCAATGATTTGGGGTAATGAACATTTTCACCAACAACAAAAAGTAATAAGGAAAAGAAATAGAACAACACATAGCAATGTTCTTAGCAAACCAAAATTTTATTAATACAATGTTGTGTTGAGTAGAAAAGAAAATTATTGTGATGAATTGCCAATACACACAGCAGTTAAGTATAAAGTTAAATTCTGAATATGTCTAGGAAATTAAAATATTTTTAATTGGTAATTGGTTGACTGTCGTGGATAATGAAGAGAAGAATAGTTGGGGTGGTCAGTCAAAAAGGAAGGCAAAAATAAATGATAATATTTATTTTTTACATATGCCGACGTTTCGGCCTGAACTTCAGGTCGAAACGTCGGCATATGTAAAAAATAAATATTATCATTTATTTTTGCCTTCCTTTTTGACTGACCACCCCAACTATTCTTCTTTTCATTAAAATATTTTTGTACTAAAAACATTTTAGTTTTTCAATTAACATTTTGGGAAATTTTGTTCCAAGTATTAAAGTTGTTGGAAACATTTTGTTACAAGTTTTAGACCCTCCTCCCAAAAAAAGAAAAGAAAATTGTTACAGTAACGTTAATTTATTGAAAAATAAATACAAATATGTGTAGAAATTTTAAGTGTTATTTTACATATAATTCGGTCCTTTGAATTATTACAGGATTTTAAATGTTAATGTATATATAAGTTTTGTGTTTTTTTTTCTCTTTTTCTTTCACATACTTATATATGTAATAGATATTTCAGGCCGAGTGTAGCAACAAGATTAGAATATGCTTACACATGTAACATGTGGCTCATACAATGCGGGCTCCGATAATAATTTATACATATATATGGGCTCTTTTCATAAGTGCTAACGTTGATATGATATAACATTTAATTGTTTTGATTAAATTATATAAAAATTAAAATATGTATGCAGTAATTGCAAAAAGTTTAGACTCACCCTTAGGTTTTGTAAAATAAATATATAGCAAAAGTTTCTCGAATAATATCAAATCAGCTTTATTTTGAAAAATACAAGTACAATTATTACATAATTTTATTTACAAATCATGAATATTGTTCAATTTTTAATATGTGATTCATTTAATTGAAAGATATTTATTGTTTTCTTTTTAATTCATTATATTATGTTAAATTTACCATGAAAGTCTGTAAGTTTATAATGTAGCTCTATATATATTTAGTTTCTTTATATCTCTTAGTAGGTTTTTCCTACTCTTTAAAATTAGGCTTTCTGCATTATAAATAAGCAATCACACCTCTATTGTAACATGTATGGTAATCACAAGCATGTAATAATTATTATGACATGATTTATTGTATGTACATATGTAAATAAATTGATAAAAAAAAAAAAAAAAAATTCTTCGAAATATCCCCCTTTTGATTTAACTAGAGCATTTCATATTTTTGACGTTCTTTCTATTAATGTTTGTAAGTTCTAGTTGAGATCTGGTTCCAGAAATTTTGTAAAGATTCCCAAAAAAAAAATTGTATTGGTGTTTTGTGCAAAGCTATTGTGCCCGATTGTCCCGTTGAGGCGAGTGGTGGGGGCATATCAGATAAGATCTGAAAGATAAAATTGAATCCGCGCCAGCTACCAGTAGCACTGGACCCACTTCATCCCAGAGTCTTGAACTAGCAGACTGGAGGGCCCTCTAAGTTAAGTTTGATGTCTATAGCAGCATAAAAGAGTGAGTCAATTTGCACAATTCATATAACCTACCACTTCATTGAAATACAGTCAACTGCATAAATAAGTCGAATGTTGTCTATTTTGAACTCATTAGAGTTGTTTGCCTTAATTAAATTAAAATTGGAAAGTTGTCTAAACAATTGATATGTTGTATCTCGACGTTTCTGTCAAGGTCGTCCCACAACAGTTCAATTGGGTCGAGATCAGTGGATTGAGGTGGCCATGCCATATATTTAAGTACCTTTTGCTTTTATTTTGTTCCAATGTAGTTTCTACACAATTTGGAAGAATGTTTTGTATTATCATGCTGGAAAACAAATCCTTGACCCACAATTCTCTGCCCACATGGAAAAGTGTGACACTGCAAAATTATGTGATATTGTTTTTTTGTTATCCATAATTCCCTCCATTCGGATGAGTTCTCCAATTTGTCGCTGGCAAAACATCCCTAAACCATATCTGACTCTCCACCCTGCTTTACAGTTGGTATTATACATTGGTTTATCACACGTTCACCCACTATACAATGAAAATACTGCCTAAGTTTACTTCCAAAAACTTCAAATTTTGATTTATCAGTGAACAACACTTTTGACTACTGTTCTACAGACCAGTTTCCATATTTGTTGGCCCATTGTAATTGTTCAAGTTTGTTTTCTTATTTAGGGTTTTCTAGCAGCTACATAGACATATGCACAGTCCTGCTGAACACAGGCTTCTGTCTAACAGCATTCACTTCTTTGCGAATTTTCGGTGCAGCCCGAGTCCGCTGGTACTTCCTTAGATTGCAAATGGACTTCTTATTTCTAATATAAACACTGTAAAAAGTTGTTAAATTTTGTTTTTAATATTTACAGACTATTTTAAGTAAAAATTAATTAATTAAAACTCATTAAAATTTAACATTTTCAAATAAATTTTTTAAATGTATTATGTACATTAACTTGCCTTAGAATGAATCTCAGAAAATAAATGGTAAATATAGTACGAATTAATGGAATTGTTATAGACATATTAATATTAACCTACCTGATCAATAACAAACTGTTTTAAGTTGAAAGAGAATTAATAGGATATTTGTTGATGGTTGTGTTGGACATGCTATCACTTAAATTAGAAATATTTTATTAATCTTGAGGATTGTGAATTAAATTCAAGTCTAAACTTTTGACCAGTACTGTATTTATTTTGTGGTACTTATTTATTTGTTATAATCAAATAAATAATTAAAATACACGATTGTTAAAGGAAATGGTTAGTGGAAAAAAACAATATAAGTACCTATAATATATAAACTGCTGTGAAAAACATATGGTAATTAATTGTTTTAAAAAATGTTTTGTACCATCTGTAATTTTACTTCCAAAAGAAGGGTGGTAAGTGAAAGTTGCTGCACGCACCGCACCACATCTTTTGATTTTTTTCATTGAATATATATATATGTATATATATTCAGGGTGTCCCATATTTTCAGCAGAAAAGTAGGAAATCCAAATTTTGTGTTTTTTAAAGAGAGTCGTGTTTTTTGTTGAATAGGAATCGATAAGTAAAGAAATATTTAATTTAAGTAATTGACTATTACTTCACTGCAAACTAGACAAAATTTACTTTAATTTAAAGGAAGCTTGTCATTTTTAAAACCATTTATAGAGGACATTTGAGCGGCTAAACTAAGCTACGTTTTTTTTTAAAAAAGATCACAAATTATTATTTTAAAAAAAATTATTAAAATTAACTGTTGCAAAGCTTTTATTTCTTGTTGTTCCATGATATAGTATGTATTGTAATAAAAATATTTGCCTAAAAACACATTTTATTTATAAAAATAATAATAATAATAATAAAAGGCTTAGCGAACCCGAAGGTTCGATGCCAACACCACCAATCTCTTATAACACACCTCCCTAAATCGTTCGCTGTCCAAACCCAGTCCCTTCAGATCGGCTTTCTTGCAATCTTCCCACCTATGCTTCGGTCTACCCCTCGGATGTTTACCATTCGGTACAGCAAATATTAACCTTTTAGGAATTCTTTCGTTACTAAGCCCATTTGATTCGCCGCGATGAAATTACCTCAATTTATAAAAATTAAAATAATCGTCATCATCATATTAATAATATGAATATGAATGAATAAAAAATTTAAAATAATAATTTTTCAAATATTTTTTATGTGAGGTTGTTATGAAACAATATTTTTCTCCCAGATCTCCGTCATAGGAATTCATATGTATTTATCAGTAACAAACTTAAAATGTTTCTTACTAAAATTTATGTTTAAAATAAAGAAACCTATTGATTGCTTCAATTCCTTTTATGAAAACCTAAATATTACGGCTAGAAACAAAAACAGACAACTTACTAAAATTTATGTTTGAAATACAGAAATCTACTAATTGCTTCAATTATTTTCATGAAAACGTAAAAAAATTAAGGCTAGAATCATTAATTTTTTCACCAATAAATACATATAAATTTCTATGAAGGAGATCTGGGAGAAAAACACAATTTCAAAACCACCTAACATGAAAAATATTTGTATAAGATTTTTGATTTTTGTGTGCTATGTTTTTTGGTGTATAAATGGGTTCAAAAATTGTTAATTACTATTAATTAACTAATGATGAAAAAAATGAGTAATTGTTATAAATGGAAGCATTATAACAAGTTTTACTGTATTTGAATATGCCCTCATGTTATAAACAATTAATTTATAAGTTGATCTAAATTCATGATATCATATAATTTATTTTATTTAATTTTTCAGTTTATGTGAACTAAAAGATGTTTACGGAGATGGTCAGTTCAATGCAAATGTTGCTTTCCCATACATAATTGCAGTCAATAACCTTTCCCAATTTATGGCCATGTATTGCTTGGTTTTATTCTATAGAGCAAATAGAGAAGAATTACGACCTATGGAACCAATTGGCAAATTTTTGTGTATAAAAGCTGTTGTTTTTTTTCATTTTTGTAAGTTTTTAGAAATAATGTAAATGATTGGTTTGAATGCAGTATTATTTTTTTTTTCTTTTACTTGATTCTACATTAAGAATATTTGGATGGATCTATATTTCATAAACTTATGATTAAAAATAATCTGTTACTTTGAAAAAGTATATTTATAAGTACCATAATATGTTTTATTTTGTTTGATCTGTTAAGAAAAGATTTACATAATAGCATTTTTTATAGAAAAAAATTAACCTCAAATAAGTTAAATTTCAAAATAAAATTTTAAAAAATACATATTTTTTTTAGTAATGGTAGTAATTCTCTTGCTTCTAGTACTTCATTAAGATTAACTTTGAAAATATGATTGTTTTGATCGCATGTCCAGGAATAATTTCCTACTTCTATCCAATTAGTCTATTCAGGAATAGCCTGATTGGTAAACATATATCTAATCTATAAGACCTCATTCATGTTAGTGTAATATTACTTTGAACAACCTTAAAATTTGTATTCAAGTTTTAAGTTATCTATTTAACTCATTATGATGATATTTTCAGTTGTTTACCCTTCTAAACATTAAATAATATAATAACTTGAGTCTCATCACCAAAAGATCTGAAACTGCTAACAAAAACCTTTTCTTTTTTTTTAAACTTGGAGATATCTTTTTTAAATGAGATTTTATTCTTAAAATATTAATCAAAACTTTTTCTAGACTTTTTTGTAAATAATATATTAAATTGCAGCCAAGGAGTGCTAATAGCAATAGCAGTAAACACTGGTGTTTTAGATTTTCTATATGATCCTGGTAGCGAACATAATGTTACTGCTCTTGCCAACAAACTTCAGGTAATTCAATTTTAAATTCTTTATTTTTTTCTGTCATAATACCTCAGAAACCAATTTTGTTGTCTTTACTACAGGAGTTTTTGTGGTTGCTATTTATTGATTTTATACAGTAGAACCTAATTTTAATGGACTGGTTAGAATTAATGGTTGTTTGTCTAAATGAAAGCACAGTTATTAATCAATATGATTCCAGATTTTTAAAATTTATGTCCTTTCATTCAAATTGGAAATTAACTACTGGAAAAGCTGGTTGAACCATGGCCTTGAAAAGATAGATAGTTTCCAAGGATATGGTATTATTTTTGCCACTCAATGTTCCCTTTATCTCCAGTAATTTAACAAATTTAGACCAATTGTTTGTGTATTTACTTTTTTATTGAAATGCCATAATATATTTTATAACTTTTTAAATTCATACTAGGATCTGAGCCCACTCCAGTTTAAAAGATAGAAAGCTAGTCTTTTCTTGTGCTGTCTTATCTTATTATTGTGCTGCTAGAAAAGATGCTACAAGTTTTCTAAAACTCCACTAGACCGTTCTTAGTTGAATCATCTCAGTATTGCAATTTACCATTTATATAGTATTGTTACAATTGCCTAAATATTCATTCCTTTATTAACAATCCCCCATAACTTAGTTGCAAAAACTACTTTTATGTTACATCATCCAGAATTGTACATGAAGGCAAACATATGTATTTAACCTCACTCTTTGATTCTTGATTCTCTTATAGCTTTGTTTTACTATTTTATACTCAGCATAAAGTAAACTTGACAATTCTTCCTCAAGCACTTCTATCAGTCTATTTTAAATTAGTTTTTTTTTTTAGTTTTTGGTTTTAAAATTTATATTCTTAATCAATGGCATGATTCAAGATAAAAATAAATAATCTATAAATTTTGAAAATTAAAATATCAACTTAATGAGTAGTTTTTTTTTTTTTTTTTTTTTTTTGGCTTTAAGACTTGTAAAAGCAAGTCCTATTTTGCCAGCAAAATATTTTTGTCATAGTGAGATGAAATTACAGTTTTTAGACGGAAATTGCATGGATTTATATTAATTATTTACAGTTAGATGATAACTGAAAGTGACTTATATGGGACTTGGATATTAGATATTATATTATTAGATATTAGATATTATGGAAACTAGCAAGACTAATGGTTAAAAACTGAGATGAATTAGAATTGCAATTAACTAAGTGCCGACTTTTATTATATGACTGTTTGATGTCATTCATGAACTTCAACAAGTCACGAGCGTTATCTTTGTTCATCGACCGAAGGAAGTTAGCTCCATCATCCATAGTTTGCGACCCTAAACTAATTCTTCTTCGCTTTTCGAACCTTTTGCACTTGAAGGCAATGTGTCTTGGATCCTCAAGCATTGGCATGTTGGGCATTGACTGCTCTCAGCTAGCCCCATTAGATGAAGATATTTATTTGTTCTACCGTGGTTTATCCTAAGCCTGGTCAGCTTTACTAAGCTGGAGCGTCGAGATGAGATTTAAGGTCGCAAACCATGGAATCAGTGCTATTTTCTGTTGAACTGCATGATGGTCCTTACCCTTCGAGGCACATTCCCAGTCGTAGAAATGCTGCCAGTCTTTCATTATTTTCCCCACTACTCTTATCAAATCAAGTAAAGGGACCTTCGCGTTTATTCGGTGTAGTTGGTTTTGATTTGCCGTTTTATCTGCAATTTCATTTCCTGATATTCCTACGTGTCCCGGCACCCACTGAAAAAAGTAATTGTTGCTGGAGTTATGTATCAGAGATATAATTTTAAAGGAAATGTGTGTCAGTGCTTTGGTATTTTGGTAGATTAATTTTAGGTGTTTACATGCCGTTGCGGAGTCTGTCAGAATAACTATTTTTTGGTTGATATATGTGTTTTTGCTGTATATTATGGCGTTAAGAATGGCATATAGTTCGGCGCTGAAAATACTGAAATCAACTGGAATCATAGTGAAAATTTCTGGTTCTTTTGGGGATCATACACAGCTACAGAAGTCGGTTACTTGTTTTTGATGCGTCTGTATAAATTTGTAGATAATTTGGGTAGCGGTCAGTGTTGTGTTTAGTGCTAATTGTTTCAAATAAATTGGTGGGTATGAACTTTTCTTCTCTAATTTACCAGCTAGATTAGAGGAGCTGTGAATATTAATTAAAGATTTGGGAATGGGCGTTGTGTATTCTAGAGGTGCTTCCGAAATGTGTAGTGATTTAATAAGGGCTGCAATTCGTTAATAATGAAAGATAGTTGGGGACAGAACAAGTTTCCACTTCTAATTTCTTTACCTACAGGATGATTATTGTCGGAATACACTTTGAGGATGTATTTTTTCGTTAACCATGACCTTCTGATGTGTAATGGCATCTCTCCGGCTGAGGCCTGAAGCGCGTTTACTGGAGAAGTTTTAAAAGCACCCAAACATAACCTTATGCACAGTTTTGTGTTGTATTCAACTTATTAATGAGGGAGGATTTAGTTTGATTGTATACGACACAACAATAATCGAAGTTAGATCTTACTAATGTTTTGTAGAGAGTGAGCATGTTTTGTGGATGAGAACCCCACGATACTCCAGCTAAAGATTTTAGTATGTTTAAGTTTTGCAGCGACTGTGTGTGAATATTTTTTTATGCGTTTTGAAATTTAATTTAGTGTCTAATGTTACGCCTAAAAACTTTAAGTGTTCTTCGCTTTTAACTGTGTATTTTTCATTTGAAATCTCAAAATCTTTGAAGTTAATTGTTCTTTTTCTAGTAAAAGGAGTAATGCTGCATTTGTTAGGATTAATTTTTAGGTCTATTATTGAAAATGCTTGTGTTAGGTTGTCCAATGCTGAGCTGATTATGTCTTTCCCTTCTTCTGCAGATTTCGCTACAGTATAAATTAAAAAGTCATCTGCAAACTGAATGATTTTACACTTGTCAATTGTATTGTTGGTGATATGTTCCGTGTAAAGATTGAAGAGGGTTGGACTCAAAGTATCTCCTTGAGGGAGACCACTGTAGGTTTCATAAGATACTCGACCTTCCCAAGTGTCCAGAAAATATGTTCGATGAGTTAAGTAATTTATTATCCAGTGAGTTAGTTTCGTAGGGATGTGCAGATTTTTTAATTTAGATAGCAAGATTTGTATTTTTACATGGTCATATGCTTTATCAATATCAATGGTTAATGCCACAAGGATCTTTCTTTCTCTGAAAGCTTTGTAGATATCATTGATTAGAATCAAGATTGCATCAGTGGTTGACCTGTTTTTCCTAAAACCAAAAAGAGAGGACTCAAGATATTTGTTGATTCTATAAACCATTCTAATCTCGTTTTGACAATTTTGTTGAAAAATTTTGCTAAGCATGAGATGAGAGCAATAGGGCGGTATGAAGTGATCTGAAGTGCATCTTTACCAGGCTTTAATATTGGGAATATGAGTATATTTCCCAGTCCGGAGGAACCTTGGCATCCTCCCAAATTTGATTATAAGCAGAAAGCAATCTCTGTTTCATCGAAGCCGGTAAGAGTTTGATCATTTGGTAATTGATTTCGTCCACACCGGGGGCGGATCCAAATTTCCCTTTCAATGCCGCTTCCAGCTCTGTTAATTGGAAGGGTGAATCTAAATGGTGGACAATATGTACATTAGAACCGCGAAGCAATGGTTGTCTGGGCACAAAGATGTTCGACAATTGTTCGAGAAAGCCTATTGCATGTGTTCGGTTACTTAACACCATATTTTGCATGTAAATTCGCTTACCACGTAAGGTTTTAATTTTGTTCCAATAGAGCCGGTTTGTTTTGGGTTGATGCTTTCGATGTAGTTTCTCCAAGTCTCGCTTTTGGCCTTTTAATAAGTGATTTAGTCTTATTTATTTTCGTTCTCATGATTTTGTAGTTTTCTATTGTCATATTCTTTAAGTATTCTTTTATTGCTATCTTCTTTTCCCCATACGACTTGCGAATGTCTTCATTCCACCAGCACTTCGGGATAAATTTTGGACGGTATTCCGAACACTTCCGAGGAATAGCTGATTCTCCTGCTTGGTTAATAATGTTAGTCAAGTCTGATATTGTATTTTATATTAGGTTTCTCCATTTCCAGGAGGTAATCTGTAAATATTTTTTCATTTAATCTTTTGAAATTTCTTTTAGAATTGAATTTGTGTTGCCTCTTGATTCTGCAGTTGTTTACTTCGATTATTATTTGTAAGTGGTCACTCCCTAGCGTTTCTGGACTTACAACCCAGGTGAGGTTATGATAGAGATCGGCTGTAACAAATGTTAGATCTATAACGGAAGGTCTTGATAGAGAGTTACCTAATTAGTGATTATTCCTGTTTCATTTAATAGGATTAGCGGACTGTTTTGTAAAGCCAGAATTAAGTCATCTCCTCTGGGAGTATCATATTCTTGAGCACCAAAAAATGAGGAGTGCGTGTTAAAATCTCCTCCCAAGAGCACACTGCAATTTGGAAAATTGACGTGCAGGTCAAAAAGATTTTCAAGGTTTCGAAGTGATGGCCGCCTTCTGTTGTCTGGTGGGATATATACTGAAACTATGATGATGGAAGGTATTGTGTTAAGAAGTTTTACCCCTACTGCCTCAATTGTTCCCAGATTTGGTAAGTCTATGATTTCATAAAGTAAAGAAGTATGGAGAAAGATGCCCACTCCTCCGTACCTGTCTCGTCTATTTCTTTTTACTATGTTGTAATTCTGTGCACGGTAAGTCCGTTTATTATCAAACCATGTTTCCTGTAGTAGAGCTATAGGATGTTGTTTATGTTAAGAAAATTAATAATTTCTGAGAATTTATTATTTATACTTCGACAATTATGTTGAAGAATTTTTATGTTTTTATCTATCATATTAATTCTACTGTTTGACATTATAAGGAGTTAAGTTAAGAGATAGCAGGCCGTCTTTTTTTATTATTTGTCGAGCTATTGAAATCATTGCAGGAATGAGTATCGCAGAAACAATATCACGCTGTATATTGTACACGGGCTTGAGTGAAATCGTGTATTTTTCTGTACGGTGGGAGTATTCATGTCGAAATGATGGGAAAAAACAAAAAAATAAAGTAAATATGAATTAATGAGAAGAAAACATAATTTTTAGGGTTAATAGTGTTCCACCAACACGTCTTTGTCGTCTCGTGTAATAACCAGAAGGCAGGACGTGTCAGTCTGAAGATATTAACATAATTTACAAATATAGCATTTTTAAAATCTTGTAAAATTATCATTGAGTTCAATAAATTGTATCACCTGTAGTGATAGGAAAAAACTGAAGTATTGATATACATGTTTAAAACCATGATTGGAATATAATTGTGTAAATATTTATATTTATTTGTTAGATTGTAGATAAAATAAGCTGGATTATCCAAGGGGCTTGGTTTGGTGCTTATTCAACAGACATGTCAGCAGTTGTTTGTAACTCTGTAATTGATTTTATTATCGAATTGTTTTCCTGGACGAAATTGTAAAAAGTTTGTCCTATTATATTCAATGTTTCCTGTTCATTGTCAATTGTTTTAATTTTATTTATTAATGAATTTAACATATTAATATATTTAGAGTCAGCGCTAACTCGATGGGGGTTATCTGTGATTAGAGGGAGGTTATTGTTGGTGTTTTACGTGGAGGTTCCACAGGTTCGTGTTTTGAAAATCTATTGGGTTGTCGTTCAGCCTCTGACGTTTCAAATTGTCTGGATTGTATTTTAAAAATTGTTTTTTTCCTGGGTTTCTTGTAATGGCAGTATTATAATGGTAAAAATTATTTTCGGCAGAATCATTATTTAACGATAATTGAGGAAAATCTAGTGCGGAAAATTTATTGTAAATGGAAACCGGAAATAAATTATTCGCTTCCTTGTAGCTAAGCGGTTTGACGGCCATAGCCTCCTTTATTTTCCTTTGTCGAATTGCTTCTGGGCATTCCTTATCTGTTGGAAGGTGAGCGTTTTTGCAATGTATGCATTTGATCGCGTTCACGCATGCCTCTGCGGTATGTTCATTAGAGCCACATTTCATACATCTTCCTTTTCCTCTGCATTTTTCTTTGGTGTGACCATATCTTAAACATTGTTCACAAAGGAGGGGCTTAAAAATATATGGGTAAACTTTTCTTGGGGCTAATTAAGGGCAATGCTGTCAGGGAGTCGCTGAGCGTGAAAAACAATTTGGATGGTGCCCGTAGCTATAGTAGTTACAGTACCGTCGGAATTTTTAATTTTTCTATTGAAACGGCGAATTTTGACTATTTTTTCGGTTGATTGAATTTCACTCAGAATTTCTTCTTCAGATAGAGATGGGTGTACGTCTCTAATTATTCCGTATTTTAAAACGTATGAGTTCGGTATAAATGTTTTAGTTTATTAGATTCAAGAAATTGATTTTCTAAAAATCGGTTGGCATATTCATAAGTTTTAAAAATAACTTCAATTTGTTGTTTATTTTTCTTTTTAATAGAAAAAACGTGAGAGTTATTTAAGCCTAGAGTTTTTCCAATTTTCATATCATGAAAGCATGCTATGTTTTCATTAGTCGATTTTTCAACTAAAACAATGAAGGGGCCTTTAAAGTTCTGCAAGTATTTATGTTGATTTTTCCATTATGTACTACCTGTGAGTTTAATGGTTTATCAGGGGGCTCAGTTCCCACGCTACTTTCCCCCATGATCACAAATAGGTGTGATATTAGTTGATAATTTTAAGTAATATGAAAATAATATAAATTAAAGAGAAAATAAAATAGAAAATCTGGCCTGAATGTAGCTAGCCGCAGGCTTCTGAGAAGTTGGGCCTGTCCACAACGGCCTATTATCCTCGCACTAAAAGGATACCGCCACTTCAAACAGATAAACCGCGATGTTAACACTACCACTGTTCGAGGAAAACTGTTAATATTTACTTCTTAAAAAGCAAAAAACTAAGAGAGAAAAATATAACCTATGCATGCACTATGACACCATATGATCGGAGTAGTTAAATGATAGTGATGGGTACTAGCACAAACTATAATTATTCTTACTTATTTTACTGTTTGATGTACTGTCATTTTAATGTAATGATAGTTATCTGGGATCTGTCCCTTTAGAATAATGTTAAAGGAATTAAAAAATAGGTTGCAATTCTGTCCATGTACTCTAGAGCTTTATAAATGTTTTAATTACGATTATAAATGAATTTACATTTTTTTTTTTTCTTTGATATGAATACAAATTGCTAATAACTCTTACTTATTTTTCAGAATTTCCTTATTTGTATTGAAATGTTTTTGGCAGCAGTAGCACACCACTATAGCTTTTCATATGAACCATACGTTAATGATCTAGTGGAGAAACGTACTCTTTGTGATGCTTTTGTAGCAATGTGGGATGTATCCGATGTTCAAGCTGATCTAAAGGAACATTTTGGAGTTGTTGGTAAGTATTTTTTGTGTTTGTAACTGTCCGTACATGTACTAGTTGTTGCTTTATGTAATTAATAGATTTTAATAAAATGGTTTTACTTTACTTCAGGAAATTCTATAAGCAATTTCAATAGACAGATTAGAGGTGTTCGTGACTCATCATCGTCGTCTGCCTCTACAGCATTACTGTCTAAAACCAGTTCTTCTGGATATAATACTATTGATGCATAAAAGATTGATCATGAGAGTATCAATGTAAGTTATATTATACATATAGTGTTATATTATAAGTTATATAGTGTTATACATATAAGTTATATTATATTATATAGTGGTTACTAGTTTTTAGGTAACTTATTTAATTTTTTTTTTTTTGTTTTGGACATTATACGTGATTTATATTATAAGGATTTGTTCCTAAAAATGAATAGTCTTATAAAGCAGATTTTTTGAAGTCACTGTACAAACAAGAAAAAAAAAAACTTTCTGAATATTGTTTGTTTTTATAAAATCTGGAGTGGTGCACATATCACACAACTTTCACTTACCATCCTACTTGATTAGAAATAGGTATTTTTATGCATAGGAAAGTGAAAGTAGAAATTATAAACGGTCCAACAAATTATTTAAAATAAGTAATTACCATAGTTTTTGTCCACCTGTCTAATCTATCTAAATTTATTTATTTTTGTCACTAAATATTCCTTCTATGACTGTATATTTTATTATTGATTTAATGATAATAAAAAATTAAGCATCATGAATTTTTTTAGAGTAAAAGTAATAAAGGATGTCGCTATATTTATTTATATTTCATTGTGAATATTTTTATTTCTTTAAGCAATGGTATATTGTAATATATCTCTTATATTTTACAAATAATAATATAGCCTCAGCAGACCACTTTATACTGTTGGGATACTTCCAAAATAAATAAGAGATTATTAAATAATAAATAAATTTATTAGAGTATTAATATATCAAATTGAAATTTTTAATTTTTTTATCTCAGGTATGGGTTACTGACAATCATATCAAAACACTCAGGCAAACTATTATTATTTACTCTATTTATACTAAAATTAAATAATGATTTTAAAATAAAGTCAAGTATGAATTGGCAAGGTAACTTTTTTTCTATAGATGCTGTTTCTTCCTTTGTTGCACTAAATTCATTTGTCTCCAAATGCTTTCCAATGTTCTGCCAAACACAACTTCCAAAATGGTGACACTTTCTTCTACTCAAATCAAGCTCTCTGGGAAATTCTCTCTCTTATAATTTCAAACAACTAGTCTCTTTTAAACAACTTCCAAGATGATAATACTATTACTGGGTTTTACCCACTGGAGCCAGGATTCCTTCTCCCATCCTCTCTTCACCCCAGGCAAACACCAACTACCTGCCAAAACAAAATCCTTTTTCTGTCCCCTCTTCTCTTTGAGATTTTCCTTTCTGGGGAAAATCTGTAACTACAGAGCAGCTATTTTCTTTTCCCTGAACTAGCGAAACTAGATTAGCTTGCCTTTTAACTGTTACATTAATTTATTAAACTATTTTTAACAACTTTCAATTAAAGTGTATATTGCAATATATATGAATTTTATTGTTTATATTGCCGTTATCGATACAATTAAATATTGAATAATACCATCACTAGCATTTATGAAAACTGCATTTATATATGTTATAATATCTGATCCCACACGTTCCTCATCAATGATATATCATATTACGTACGTGTTACATTTACTAACCTTTTGTCCAAATTCAAATGTGGATTCAATGAGAATACTACCTGCACCATTATTTTATTTTTTTCTAGCCTTTCTTACAAGTATTTTACAACCTGTAGGCTCCCCTAATTAATAGGGTAATGGTCTAACTTCCCCCTGGGACCAGCTGTAATGGGAAGTAGAGCCGGGATTCGATCCTATGATCTTTAATTTACTAGTACTGCGCGCTAACCATTCTACTATACCGGCCCTTGCATACTCGTAATGTTAAAGATCACTTAATTTTAGATTAATATAATGAATTTAATCATAATGGTTGGAGCCATTTTTGAAAAAAAAATTGTAAAAAATGAGTAAAATTGATGATACAAAGTGCCATTTCCAAATAGTTGATTTTAGGGAAAAAGTTGCTGTAATATCCCAGACATATACTTACCTTAAATATATAATTTCAGTTCCTTAGGAATTTTCATTTTTGAGCTAGGCTGTTCACATACATAGAACATTTGGCAAAACTTAGTTATTTGGACTCATGAGATCTCAACATGTGTATTCCCATTGAAAACTGATTCGAAAATTTTCAGAACCACAATGTTTTATTTTATTTATATTACATACCAGATCTTACCAATCGGATCATTAGGGGCCACAATATTTTCCCTTACTATATATTTCATATATAGGTAAGTGAAAGTAAAAAATTGAATAAATCTGTTATTTCTATACACTAAATACTTCTGAAAGTTTTGTATCTCTTGATCTGATGATAACAGATGGATATTTACTTTCCTACTAATAGTCCAGCCAACAAACTCCAAAAAGGATTGTTGAGTGCGTTGGAAGAAACAGAATTTTTGACTTTGGGACTTTGTTTAGACTAATTAGGTTTAGATTAGTTACCATCTATCCATATTCCTGTGGATCACGCCAGAATGTTACTTTTTTCACTTTATCTCGAAAATATTAGATTATTGAGGGAAAAGTATTTAAAGGAAATTAAAAGCTATAAAATTTACTAAAAGTTTGTCTCTATTAATTTTTTCTCTTTCTAAGATATCTGCCTGCAATAATCACAATTTTTGTGATAAAAATTTGTCACACCTCTTTTTTATCTCTTTTGTCTATAGGACCGTAGCCCTTCATTTTACAGTCAATTTCTTTAAAAAGAAGTTGCAGAGTAATAGATTTTCATTGAAATTACGTCAATTTTATTATTTTATCTCCAGCTTATCAAAAGTTAGAACATTTTAAAAAATGTTGGTAAATTTTGTCCTTTTCAACTACTATTAACTTTAATATACACTGTTATGTTGTGTATATACTTTTAAAATCCTTGGATAAAGGTAATATTATTAAAATAACAATTTATTAAAATGGGATTCATGAATTATAGCCTAACTTTTAACAATAATCATGATTATATAATTCAGTAATACATTGAGTTTGTATTTGTAATATTTAAGTATTTCTTTATTATTCAATGACTTCAGAGAACAAATAGCTGTTACAGTTATTAAAGGCTGGAACCACAACTACCTCCAAGGACAATAGGTTGGTCGATGGGTAGGTACGAAAAAACCAACTCTTTTGGCCTTCAGTTTTTTCAGGACAAAATAATGAAAACTGTAATAGGGCCTAACCCCAATGGAGAACTATAAAAACAAAACTTCAAGAAATTCTGGAGATCATATAGCATTGATTCAATACAATCATACAACATTTACTCAATATAATATTTTCAGTGTGCCAGTAATAAGTTTCAGAGATACCGATTACAAACTGCTAAATTATGGGTGAGAAAACAAAGATACAAATGAGAGTGCTAAAAGAATCAGAATCATTTTCAAAACTGCAGAAATCATACAAGATAATCAGAGTGAAATGTTCAAAAGTAATTCAAACCTATATCAAGTGATCATTTCCTTGATGGAGCAGAAAATATGTCTCAATCTCTCCTCACATTTCTTGGATCTTCCATCATTGCTTTCATCCAGCTGAGGACCTTTTTTTTCTCCAGTTTGTCCTCCCACTCCCTCTTCATTGGGTCTGGGTTTCTGTGCTTAGTCCAAATGTTAGAAATGTAAGCTATCACCCATGCTCAGCCAATATTCAAGATAGCATCATCGAACCAATTTGTTTTTGTTAATGCCTGATTTCAACATATGCATTTCTGATCGACTCAATACTAGTAATACAACTTATTTCATGACATGTCATGGGTGAAATAAGTTGTATTATTCTGTGTAGTTCTGTCAAAAGAGGTCTGGAAATACCAAGATTAACTAAAATGCCTACAGCACATGATACAGAAAAGCTTGCAATTGTTCAATTAGACGTTCAAAGAGAAACAAGTAAGCCTTAGAAATGCTGCAGTCAAAGATATAGAAATTCCAGATCATCAAGCACACACTACAAAAAAACATATCCCAGTCCCAGGATGGAAAGACTATACACAATGTGTTACAACGGAAATTGTAGTGAGAAAACAACTGTTGTCACCCTTTCCTTCATAAATGCTCCTCCCTCACTCATAGACTATGCATGTTGCAATATGCAAGTGAAATGTGTAAAAACTAAAAGCAGAAGAAGAGTTTTATAATCATGTTTTAGCAGCCACTGTATTGGATGGCGAGAGAGATAGTAGCTGTTGTTCTGCCTGAATCTCAGCTAGGAAAGTGCGTAATTCGATTAGGACAGGGGTGGCCAGCCCGTGTCCTGGAGACCCTCCTTAAATATTTTTCTGGACTGTAAGATTCATCACACTTTTACAAAATATATTTATTTTATAATGGCCAAAGTAATGAAAACCAATATATTAAAAAAATTCATTATATGTACAACCATGTATTAAAATTATGAGGAAAAAATTAACTTTGATTTTAAAGTAATATTCTTGCACATATATGATAGATATTGCTTGTTTTATTTATGAATATGCAGAGTAATTAAATTATATTCTGTGAGCTCATGATGCGTTATGCATCTTGGAATATCTAAGATAACAGATTCTATGTTTCACTGTATGATTGTATGCGTAAAATATATGTTTATGTTATGACCAAAAAAAAGGATAAATAAAATGATAATAAAATAATTTTTAATAAATATAATTTTCCATAAGAATTTTTATTTGTTGGGCGCCTGGCTTACCAGCCTTTCATCTCTAAAGAGATAAATCTAGAAAACATAAGGTACTTACCCATTATTTGGCCATCATTAAATATTTACTCTACCATGCTAGCTCAGGTGAGAAGGGGTTAGGTTGGATATTTTTATAAAGCAGAAAAAAGTTAACAGATCTATTCACAGAAAGAAATATTTACAGAATTAATACTATGTACAATAAAAAGAAATAATATACAAGGAAAAAGAGAGAATTTAAACATAATTACTATATACAATTAAAGATAAATAGGAAGATATTTAAGATAATAAAAATAACAAAAAAAGATACTTATACATATAAAGATACACCTCCTTTTTTCTACTTTATCCTT